GTTTTTCTCTCAGGTTTCCAGTAGAGGGGTAGGACACCCACCTTTTCAATGTAACAGCCTTAACATGAAGTGACTATTATTCATGCAGTGAAATAAGATAGTATTTATAATGCCACTAGTTACTTTCTATTCGCTGTGACAAAGTATCTGATGAAGTCCATTTCAGGAATGGACTTTTTGGCTCAAAGCATGAGCATGTAGCACCAAGATCAAGAACCGAGGCCAGGCCTGGTGACACATGCCTTTAATTCCAGCAGTTGGGGAATCTCTGAGTTAAAGGCCAGTCTGATTTACAGAGAGAGAGAGAGAGAGAGAGAGAGAGAGAGAGAGAGAGAGAGAGAGAGAGAGAGAGAGAGTTCCAGGACAGCCAGGACCTCGTAGTGAACGCTTGTCTCGAAAACAAACAAAAAGAATGATTGGCTAGAAGCAGAGAGGTGAATACTGGTGTTCATCTGGCTTCTCCTTTTTTCCATTTTGATTCAGTCCCAGAACCCGACTCATGTAAGGCTCACATTCAGGTTAGGTCTCTTCAGTCAGTGCTGCTGACAATGCCCTCAGACTCACTCAGAGGTATATGTATCTCCCAGGTGACTCCAAATCACATCGTGTTGACAACCAAGACGAGGAGTCCCACACTGACGCTGAATTTTTCCATTCAGTGGTGTGTGCAGATGTTGACTACAGAAGGAAGATTCCTCTCAGGAATAAGCAAGCAGCAAGGGCAAGGGACCCTTCCCATTTGTCTGCCATATCCAGAAACAAGGCTCTGTGTTAATTCTGACTGGGAAGAACATAACAAGGATACTTTGTACTGTGAGTCATTCAAGTCTTATATGCAAGCATAATAAAAGGATACATGACTAGTTAGAGGCATACCTAAAGAATTAAAGGACATTTGATCTCTACTAAATTAGCAGATTTTAGTCAGCGATCCTGGAATAATTTGCTTATGTACACTATAATGTGTCCATGTATCTACCAAATGATTCATTAGATGAGTTACTTCCTCTATTACCCTCCACTCAGTTCCTGAGAACCAGGTATTTCACCTATGATTTTCTGTTCAATCTGTCCTTTTACCTTCCATACCTCAGGGACAATGGCCCTCTGATGTCAATCTTGCCTTCAGGACCAGTCCAGTGTGACAAAGCACCATTGACCATGTCAATCTCCAATCTTTCAATATCTTCCCCTTGTCTATACCTTAGAACTCTTCAACCAAGAGCACAAGACCCAGTAAGCTGATGTTGGGGTCACAAAGGGATACTCAAAAGTATGACATGTTAGTGTCTTGAATATTTTGGGATGAAGGGGTTGGAAGACCTCAGAAGTAAGGTCTCTCAGATCTCTCCTGCCCTTCCTGTCCCTTGTTCTCTTTGTTCCTTGAAGAAAGTCACAGAGAGCAAAATTGCCATGGTGGGAAAGCGCTCTTCACATTCCTTGCCATTGACATTTTTGAAAGAAACACTTCCCTGTCCCACAACCAAATAACATTTTCAATTGTTTAATGAAGTTGACTGTTCACTGAAAAAGCAAAAACACCCAGATCAAATCTCTTTGGATTTTGTTTTGTTTTGTTTTGGGTTTTTGTATTGCTTTGTTTTTCAAGACAGGGTTTCTCTGTGTAGACTTGGCTGTCCTGGAACTCACTTTGTAGCCCAGGAAGGCCACTGAACTCAGAGATTCTCCTGCCTCTGCCTCCTGGGTGCTGGGTGCTGGGATTAAAGACGTGTGCCACCACTTCCCGTGTGTTCAGATATTTTATAGCAAAATGGATACACTATTTTCTTACTTCATGTACCAAATAAGTGACCTCCAGCCCACAGGGCCTGACGGACAAGTCGACAAACCATTTCAGTTCAAACGTGAGTCCTGCCCAGATTTGGTGTGCAGCGCTACATTTCACAGACCCTCTGGTTCCTCTAGCCCAGAAGATAAGTGGGAACTCTGAAAGGACTGACCCCCTGCAGCCATGGTTAGAGAGCAGGTGTGCTAGGTGTGGTCCGAACCAGCCCTCTGTAAAAGCAAGAAGGCATTTGCTTTAGGCATTCATCTCTACGGAGCTCCTATAGCAGACAAAAATCTCCAAAGAGACTTGAAGAAAGAAATAGAATAAGAGCAACCATCTGTGTCTGGGGAAAATAAATTGTTGCATGAATAAAGAATTAGATTCGAGCAGAGAGCTCTGGGATAACCGCAGACAACCCTGGACTCTGCAAAGGACTTGAACTCTGGTTCAATCAACCAATAGGATTCAACCCTTCCATCTGCAGCCTAGAGCAAGCCCAGGAAGGTCTATATGAACACAAACTAGACCCTTGCTTCTTGGATAGGCTCTGCCCTCGATAATCTTGGGAGCAGCAACCCGATCATTGGCATTGCTTCCAACAATGTTCAGCATGTTCACTCCCCAGGCATGAAAATGGAAGAGGAAGGCCTATCACATCTTGGGAGAAATTGTTTTACTTCATAGTTGGGAGTCTCTTCATTAAAAATGGATCCTAATTGAAAAATAATTTGTTCTTTTTATTTTACGCACATTGGTGTTTGTGCCTACATGTTTGTCTGTGTGAGGGTGTCAGATACACTTGAACTGGAGTTAGAGAAAGCTGTGAGCTACCATGTGAGTGCTGGGAATTGAACCCAGGTAACTCAGTGCTCTTAACCACTGAGCCATGCCCAGGTAGGTAATTTTCTTTGAGTCAGGATTTTAGCCAGGTGTAGTGGTGCACACCTTTAATCCCAGCATTTGGAAAGCAGAGGCAGGTGAATTTCTGTGAGTTTGTGGCTAGCCTGGTCTACAGAGTGAGTGCCAGGACAGCCATGGCTACACAGTGAAACCCTGTCTCAAAAAAACAAAAAGAACAAAGGACAAAGGAAGGAAGGAAAGAAGGAAGGAAGGAAGGATTCCTACTCTAGGTAATGTAAATTCTGTCTAAGGCTTTGGCCACACATTGTCTTTCTCTTAAAAGATTTCCATAGGTGCTGATTTGTATTCAATGGATGTGGCCAAATTTCTGACTTACATTTCCTCCTTGCTTTACCTAGTAGAAATCTGGGGTTCATTTGTTGTTGTGCTTAGTTTTGGTTTGGTTATGTGTAGGCAGACATGGTGCTGGAGTAGTAGCTGATGGTCCTATATTGTAGGCAACAGGAAGTGATTGCAGTGTCACACTGAGGGAAGCTTGAGTGACGGAGACCTCAAAAGCCCACCCCATAGTGACACACTTCCTCCAACAAGGTCATACCTCCTAAGTGCCACTCCCTTTGGGGGCTCTTTTCATTGAAATCACCACACAATCTAGAAGGAGAGAACTTCATTTGAGAGGCACCCTCCATAAGATCCAGCTGTAAGACATCTTCTTAATTAGTGATTGATGGGAGAAGGCCTAGCCCACTGTGGGTCGCGCATCCCTGAGCTGGTGGTCTTGGGTTCTATAAGGAAGTAGACTGAGCAACCCATGGAGAGTGAGCCAATAAACAGCACTCTTCCATGGCCTCTGCATCAGCTCCTGCCTCCATGTTCCTGCCTGGTTGAGTTCCTGTCCTGACTTCCTTTGATGGTAAACTATAATGTAAAAGTGTAAGCTGAATGCCCCCCACCCACTCCCTAAGTTTTTGGTCACAATGTTCCATCACAGCCAATAATGACCCTAACTAAGTTTCTCCACCTTGACACTACTGCAACAAATAATTCCTGGCTGGGAATTGAGGGCGAGGGGCTGTCCTTTAAATTGTGGATTGTTCAGCAGCAACCCTGGTCTTGACTCACTAGATATGGATACGGGTTATCTCCCACCAACTACACCCCGCCCCCCCACTGTGGCAGGCTGTGAAGATGAGGGGTTACATGGACTGGGAGAGTGTTTCTGCATCCAATCACAGCTGCAAGAAGTGGACTTTCTGTGAAAATCCCGCCATCATACGATTTCTGCACTTCATGTTGCACATTGTGCTTCAACCCAACGAGTATTGGAAAGGAAGAAAGATAGCATCAGTGAGCCGCAGGCCTCTCAGAGGAACAGAGAATGAGAGAAGAGAAGGGAAAGCAGGCACGCGCGGAGGGGTGCAGGGTGGGGTGGGGTGGGATGTGGGGGTCACATGTGCCGTTAGAATTCCCGATAGGAAGTCCAAACAGGATATGAACAAATCTACAGAGAGGTCAGGGTCACTTAAGGAATCCTGAGTTTCAGGATTTGCATGTTAGTCTCCAGGCTATTAAAAAAAAAAAAAAAAAGGAAAAAGAACAAGCCACTGAGACAAATGTTGGTGACTCAAACGTGAGCAGGCTGTGGGTGACAAAGTTGACAGGAAACGCCTGCTCACAGCAAAATTGTGAGCAGTGAAGCCAGAGTTAATCGAGCCTCCTCCTAGTCCAGCATCTTACGCTCAGGATTGATATCAGAATGTCCAGTTCTCAAAAGTTACTCATGCGGGGGAAGGTGGGCGAGACGGCTCAGAGGGAAAGCAGGTGTTGCCAAACCTCATGGCCTGAGTTAGAGCCCTGGGACTACGTGGTGGGAGGACAGTCCTGGTAACAGAAAGTTGTCCTCGCCTCCATACAGGAATTGCAACATCCCCACCCCACAACACACACACACACACACACACACACACACACACACACACACACACAGAAAAAAGCATTTTAAAAACTTACTCACTGGTACTTTCTATAACAAACACCGACCTGTTGTCCCTATTCTAAACTAGTCAGTACAACAAATATGTCTGTTGCTATGTAAATACATATATAAATGATTATATATTAAATGTAGACGATTTCAGACAGGCTAGGGTCCTGGAGAGATCGTTCAGTGGTTATAGCACTCACTGATCTTACAGAGGATCAGGGTTCAATTCCCAGCACCCATAAGGTAGCTCACAACCATCAGTAATTCCAGTTCTAGGAAATCCAGTGCCTTCTTCTGACCTCTGTGGGCACCGGGCACCAGGCACAGGCATGGCACAAATGTATACACATAAAAATAGATACAGTCTAGGTCCCGGGATATTTTATTAGCATATTTTCCATGTTGGTGTTGTGGCTAAAATAATTTTACTCTGTGGGATATTTTCCCCCTAGAGCATTGTTTGTTTTGATTAAAGTGATTTTTCATTAAAACATATCCTTGGTACATTCCTCTATCTCTAATGATATACACACATATAAGCAGTGGTGGCATATTACCAGCAGTCTTTTCTTTTTTTCCTCTTCTCCCCAGCAGATTCTGGGACTTCTGGGCCATGTCCATGACAGGAATAGTGTGTAACTCAAACAGATTTCACAATAGCATCCCATAAAACTTTGTATGGATGTTCAAGGGAACGAAGCAGAGTCCAGAAGTTACAAACCAGTCCTAGAACATGGATGTGTTCCGAGGAGGAGCAGTAGAGATACATTGTCCATCAGCAAGCTTGTTTAATGTCTTCCAAGAATAATTACTACTTTATGCAATCCCAGGCCTGGAAGTGACCTTAGGGTCTGGAATGTTGCAAATGCCTAAAGAGGATAAAGGAGGGAGGTTGCAAGTTCAAGAAAAGCCTAGGTGACTATAACTATCATTTGGCATGACTTCCTCATGGGAAATGTGAAAACTTTAACCAAATACCAAATTGCCCCACAGAGTGTTACAAAGTTAGCAAACTCCTGAGCTGTTTCCCCAGATTTCATCACAGGATCGAGATAATCACCACTCTCCGTATCTCTTTGGGATCCAGGAACCTCTCTATTACAACCATGCCTATCGCTAAACACGTATGGCATTTGCATGCAGTTTCAGGAGGTTAGTGGTCCCTAACCCTAACCCAAGCAAACTTGGACACCAAGTGAATGCAAGGATGTAATTATATCACTAGACCCAAGATAAATGATGAATGGGTGTTTATTGGGGACAAAGAACTGCCGGAGTGTTTCCCTGCTCTTCCTACCATATCTGCTGACCCACAGTGTGCAAAGGAAAGCCAGCCTCAAGCTCTTCTCTTTCTGCTTCTGTCCACCTGAAGTCACACCCAAAGGGGTGTGGCCTCTGTCTCAGATCCACAGACCAGATGCCTACAATTCCCTTTTTAGTCTAAAGAAGAAGGGTTTAAGCCTGATGCAAAAACTGTATACAGTGATAACAAAGTATACTCCAGGAAAAGGAAAGGCAGCATACTCAAATTAAAACCTACTATCAGCAAGAGCAACACTGAACAATAGATATATACTACATGTCCAGTATACATGTCCAGTGTCATGGTAAAGGCATGACAGAGATTGCTCTGATAGCAGTCCAAATCTGGAGAGTCTAAATCTTGTCTATCTAAGATAAGAGAGGCTATTGCTATGAGTGTCTAGTCTTCAACCTCATCAAAGACATGAGAAGGAAAGTAGCAATACTAGGGTAGGCTGGAAGTGCAAGCGTGTGACTTCCAAAGGTGCAAGTGAAGACAGAAACAGCAGCCTACCTGGACAGTCAGCCAAGGTCTCACAGCAACATCAGGACTACCAACTTCAGCTAAGGCTTAAAGTATCAGACAGACCATCTCAGAAGCAGGGAAACTGAAAAACTGTCTTACCATGACTTAGCAGGGTTCAGCAGTCTTCTTTAGGTTTATCTCCTGCAAGCTCAGTTAGTTCAGCATGTCCAAGGTCATCGGTCAAGGTGGGGGCAGTTTTTTACCCAAGAGGCCAGTAGCTGAGTAGGAAATGAACTCCAGATGGAGTGTCATCAGTGCCCAACATACTCTCTGGAATAGCTCGATTCTGTCAGGAGCAATTGTGTCTCATGTCAATGGAGTACTAATATTAAAACATTTAAATGTCACATTCTGCAGGTCTTTGAAGTGTTTAAAGATAAAATATCTAAGTCTTACTAACCTTATAGGTATAAGAAGCATGGGTAACTATTATCTGTAATTCTCAGAAACATAGTTTCTCAATGACTGAAGCTTCACACGTACACACACACATATGACAAAGATAGAACTGAAATGTCTTGACTAGATGTAGAACTGTAAAGTGCAATACAATAAAATATCCTAAGTTGTATCAATATACTAAATATATACATAAAGATAGTTTCATATTTGTGTGCAAAACATTGTAAACAGAAAAAAGACCCACTCTCACCACTAGACAAGACCACCAGCCAGAAACTTAACAAAGGGACAAAGGAACTAACAGAAGTTATGACCCAATTGGGATGAACCTTCTCAAAAATCGAACACATATTCGGCAACACAGCAAACCTCAACAGATACAAAAAAAATTGGAATAACCCACTGTATCCTATCAGATCACCATGGTTTAAAGTTAGAATTCAACAAAAATCCAAATTGCAGAAACCCTACAAACTCATGGGAATTGAACAATGCACAATTGCACCATTCCTGGGTCAATGAAAAAATAAAAAAAGAAAATAAAGACTTCCTAGAATTCAATAATAATGAAGACACAACATACCCAAGCTTATGGGTCACTTTGAAAGCAGTGCTAAGAGGAAAGTTCATAGCACTAAGAGCCCACATGAAGAAACTGGAGAACAGTCACACTAGAGAATTAATAGCACAATTAAAAGCTCTAGAACAAAAAGAAGCAAACTCACCCCAGAGGAGTGCATGCCAGGAAATAGTCAAATTGAGGGCTGAAATCAATAAAGTATAAACAAAAAAAAACAAAACAAAGAATCAATGAAAAAAGAGTGGCTCTTTGAGAAAATCAACAAGATAGACAAACCTTTAATTCAAACTAACCAAAAGGCAGAGAGAGAGCGTGCTAATTAACAAAATCAGAAATGAAAAGGAGTGCATAACAACAGAGGAAATCCAGAAAATCATCAGGTCATACTTTGAAAACCTGCACTCCACAAAATTCAAAAATGAAAGGAAAATGGACAATTTTCTGGATAGATATCACTTACCAAAATTAAATCAAGAACAGATAAGCAATTTAAATAGACCTATAACCACTAATGAAATAGAAGCAGTCATCAAAAGTCTCCCAACCAAAAAAAGCCCAGAGCCAGAAGGTTTCAGTGTAGAATTCTGCCAGAAATTCAAAGAAAAGCTAATACCAATACTCCTCAAATTGTTCCACACAATAGAAGCAGAAGGGACATTGCCAAACTCTTTTTATGAGGCTTCAATAACCTTTATACCCAAGCCACACAAATACACAATTAAGAAAGAGAACTACAAACCAATATCCCTCATGGACATTGATACAAAAATACTCAACAAAATACTGGCAAATTGAATCCAAGAACACATCAGAAAAATCATCCACCATGATCAAGTAGGCTTCATCCCAGGGATTCAGGTATGGTTCAACACACAAAAAACCATCAATGTAATCCACCATATAAACAAACTGAAAAAGAAAAACCACATGATCAACTCACTAGATGCTGAAAAAGCCATCTACAAAATCCAATACCCCTTCATGATAAAGGTCCAGGGGAGCTCGGGAATAGCAGGAATATACCTAAACATGATAAAAGCAATATACAGCAAACCAAACTAACGGACAGAAACCCAACACAATCCCTCTAAAATCAGTAACAAGAAAGGCTGTCCACTCTCTTCATATCTCTTCAATATTGTGCTCGAAGTTCTAGCTAGAGCAATAAAACAACAAAAGGAGATCAAGGGGATACAAACTGGAAAGGAAGAAGTCAAACTTTCACTATTTGCAGATGATATGATAGTTTATATAAGTGACCTTAAAAACTCTACCAGGGATCTCCTAGAGCTGATAAATACCTTCTGCAAAGTGGCAGGATACAAGATTAACTAAAAAAAAATCAGTAGCCCTATTATATAGACAATAAATGGGCTGAGAAAGAAATCAGAGAAACATCACCCTTTACAATAGCCACAAGCAACATAAAATATCTTGGAGTAATGCTACCAAAACAAGTAAAAGACCTGTATAGCAGGAACTTTTAGTCTTTAAAAAAGAAATTAAAGAAGATACCAGAAAATGGAAAGATATTCCATGTTCTTAGATAGGTAGGATCAACATAGTAAAAAATGGCAATGTTTCCAAAAGTAATCTGCAGATTCGATGCAATCCCCATCAAAATCCCAACACAATTATTCACAGACTTTGAAAGAACAATACTCAACTTTATATGGAAAAACAAAAAACCCAGGATAGACAAAGCAACCCGGTACAATAAAGGAACATCCAGAGGCCTCACCATTCCTGACTTCAAGTTCTATTATAGAGCATATAGTCCTGAAAACAGATTGGGGTTGGCACAAAAATAGACAGGTAGACCAATGGAATCAAATTGAAAACCCTGATATTAACCAAAACATCTATGAACACCTGATTTTTGACAAAGAATCTAAAGTTATACAACGGAAAAAAGAAAACATCTTCAACAAATGGTGCTGGCATAACCGAATGTTGACATGTAGAAGACTGCAGATAGATCCATGTCTATTGCCATGCACAAAACTTAATTCCAAGTGGATCAAAGACCTCAACATAAATCTATCCACACTGAACCTCTTAGAAGAGAAAGTGGGAGGTACCCTTGAACAAATTGGTGCAGGAGACCACTTCCTGAACATAACACCAGTAGCCAGACATTGAGATCGAAAATTAACAAATGGGACCTCCTGAAACTAAGAAGCTTCTGTAAGGCAAAGGACACAGTAAAAAGATAAAACAGCAGTCCACAGAATCGGAAAAGATGTTCACCAACCCCACATCTGAAAGAGGGCTGATTTCCACAATATACAATGAACTCCAGAAGCAAGCCACAAAAACACCAAACAATCCAATTAAAAAGTGGGGCACAGAACTAAATAGAGAATTCTCAATAGAAGAATCTAAAATGACTGAAAGACACTTGAGAAATTGCTCAACGTCCTTAGCCATCAGGGAAATGCAACTCAAAACTCAGCCATTCCCACCAGCCATGGAGGAGTGTACCTCTTTCTCCACATCCTCTCCAGCATTGACTGTCATTGGTGTTCTCAGAGTTGTTTTACGTGTGCCTCTAGTACTCTTTTTTCTACCCATTCTAATTCCTTTACATCTTCAGGTGATAATATTCTTTGACTATTTAAGTCATTGTCCCCTTTTAGGGTCTTTTTCAAATTTTTTAGATCATGACCTTCTACTCCAATAACAGTCTGTAGCTGGGATATCTCGCCTAGCAATTTTTCAAGATCATTAAGACTCTGATATTGATCCCTCCTGATCTGTACTCTTTGGGGTATAATTTTCTTTAGACCTATTTTCTATCCTATATAATTGATAGAATCTCCTCTTTTTTTCCGAGTGCAATTTGTAATCCCCAGTGAGATAAAACTTCCTTTACTTCCTCTAACATTTTTTCTAATGTATCTGCCTTAGAATCAGCTAACAATATATCATCTATATCGTGGTAAATTATATATTGCAAAAACTGTTTACAAATTACTTCCAATGGTTTTTGCACAAAATATTGACATAGTGTCAGGCTGTTTAACATTCCCTGTGGCAAGACCTTCCACTGATACTTCTTGCGTGGCTGGGAATTATTGTAATTAGGCACCATGGAGGCAATTTTTTCCTTATCATTTTCTTGTAAAGATATAGTGAAGAGACAATCTTTTAAATCAATAACTATAATAGGCCTTTCTTTAGGTATCAGAGAAGGTAAGGGCATTCCATTTTTTAGAGAGCCCATTGACTGAATTACTTTATTGATGGCTCTCAGATCTGTAAGCATTCTCCATTTTCCATATTTCTTTTTAATAACAAATACAGGATAATCCTATAGGCTGGTAGATTCTTCGATATTTCCAACATTTAGCTGTTCCTGAACCAACTTTTCTAGAGCCTCTAGCTTCTCAGAGATCATATGTCATTGCCCCACCCATACAGGTTTATCTGTTAGCCACTTTAAAGGTAGGCCTTTTGACTCCTTTGTTAGTTTGGCACTTTTTATTCTGTTTTTGTACAGCCTGGATAGTTGGTGTCTGTTTTCTATTGTACCTTACAATATTTTTTCCCACAACCATGAGTATGCTTATGGTTCATATCTGATACTGGAGGAATGTTAATCTGAGTATTCCATTGCTGCAATAGAACACAACCCCATAGATTTATTGCTATACCAGCCACATATGGCCTCAGCCTTCCTCTTTGTCCTTCTGTCCCTATACATTCAACTTATCTCATGCTCTGTTTTACGTGAGATAGGGTTCCAATCCCTAAGAACTGAACGTTTGTCTCCTGCAGAGACCATCTTGAAGGTCAAGATTCTTGAGTTATAATAGTAACATCCTTTCCTGTGTCTACCAACCCTATTAGCATAATGTTATTTATCCTCTTAATTTCGGTCTTTTATCATTTATAGAAGACTGCCAAAATGTATGTTTTTTGTTTCCTTCACATATGTTTGATTCATCATCCAAAGCTAATCTACCATCCAGAGTGGTATGATTTTTTACACTAGACATTGGATTTTCTAATTGTTCTGAGAAGGATTGTTCTCCACAGTGACTGAGAATGACTGGACCACTTTCAATATGAAGCCTTCGAGAGGCACCCCTATGGAGTTTCCCAATGGTAAAGGGTTTCCTTGTTTGTCCCTGGTCCATCTACATTCATTGGTCCAGTGTTGGCCTTTGCTTCATCTTCTACATAATCTGGAAGGTTAGGAACTTCTGAGTTATTCCTAGTAGAAGCATTATTTCTGGGTATGCCTTGTCTACAATTTCTTCTCAGATGTCCTACCACAATTAAAACATTTGATATTTTGATGTCTTGTCATACCTTTGGAGATAGCTTCTTCTACCCAAGCCTCAGTGTCATAAACATTAAACTCAATATTGACTGTGTGTAGGATCCATTCATAAGGTGGAGCTGATCTGATATTTAAGTAACAAAGCCCCTTTTTGCATTGTAAATTAGCATTCTCATAAGCTGAAGATTCTATGAGTATTTGCCTAGCTTTTGCATATGCTATCCCTATTTGAACTGCTCTAGTTAATCTTCGCAAAAATGCACTATAACAATCCTTTGGATTTTGTAATACTTTAGTATAGGACTCAATTCTTTCCCCTGGTTCTTGAATCTTATCCAAAGCATTTAGAGCTGCTCTACAGCATATAGACAAGATGTGTTCATCATATGCAGCTTGAGTCTCTACATTAGCATAAAGACCCTCACCAAGAATTTTCTCTTGGAGAGCCTTGTAACATTTCCTTTGGCCTTGAAGTTTAAGTGCTTTGGCCTCTTCCCTCCATAAAGCCAGCCATTCAATTTGAGATGCAGGTTCAAAGACAACTGAGATTAATTGGTCTCAGTTCTTAGGGGTCATCCTATTTTTTGTTGCCCATGATTCTACTAATTGCCTCACATATGGTGAATACATGACATAAGAGACTACCTGTTAAATCTTTCATACATGTTAGTCCCCAATAACATTCAACAAATCTTTTTGGGTGTTTTTTAGTTGCTGATTTTTCAGTGACCATAATAGGTAAACCATAGGGGATGACTTAATGACCTTAGGTAGGTCATCCCTGACTCTGAATACTGGTAATGTCAAATCATTTTTATTCTCTATGATTTGTATATCAGTCTGAAGTTGTTCAATGGCCTGTAATCTATTCACCATTGTTTGTCTTGAGTGTTTGAATCTCCTGGACAGTATAAATTTCTAGGGACATCATTAAATCAGTAAATTTCTTATTCTCTTCATTTATATATGATTCTCATCCTTAGAGATTATCTGAATGGCATGTAAATTGCCTTCCAAAAACAATGTTCTACTAGCTTGTCATTAGTCTCAGAAATGGAACAAAATTTTTTCTGTTAGTATTTCAATCTTGTATTCCATTTTTTGCATTCTGTTTGTCAAATCATCAGACATGGAGCAGATTTTTTCTGTTATCTTGTCAGTTTATGTGCCATATTTTGCATTCTGTTTGTTAAATCACCATTATTATTTTCTAAGCTCTCATCATCAGTCTGTAATGTTTGTATGGTTTCTCTAAGTTCCTCATTCTTAGCTCTACTGCTCAACCATTTCTTTAAGGGTATTATATGTATTATGAAGCTAATTGCTACCATGGATAATATATATATATATGCCAGGTAGGTCATAAACCTCTTCTAAAATACCATCCATAAAAGAAACCAAAAGGTTTTTTACTTCCTGTATTGTAATATTATCTGTCATTGCTATGGGTAGTAAATTTACCTTAAGTAGATTCCTGAAACATGCATATCTTGTGGGCAAATCGATAGAAAGAAAAACTTCTGTGACTCAATGCCTTGGGCTACTTTCCATAGGCACACGCCCCCAAATCCAAGCTACTCAAAAGGCAAAGTGAAGTACTGCATTTCCCTGGACAGGCTGCAGAAGCTGTGCAGCCAACTCAGCAGCCGGAGCAAAATACAAAAGCCAAGGGCTGTACAGCCAGCCATGAGGTAAAATCAGCACTGGGGTTGAAGAAGGAGGATCATGAATTTGAGGTCGACTTTTTTTCAAAGAGAGACACTGTCGCTGGGCAGTGGTGGTGAATGCCTTTAATCCCCCACTCAGGAGGCAGAGGCAGGTGGATCTCTGTGAGTTTGAGACCAAGCCTGGTCTATTGAGTGAGTTCCAGGACCAGTGACAGGAAGAATCATATCCTGCTTCACTGCCTGCCATCTCTGTCCATGCTGTCGGGGAAGGTCCCTACTCAGACTCTGCCACAGTGGTTTCCATGTCTGATTGCGGTACTTGCTTAACTATTTGATTCAGCAGCCTGGGGTGGACTCTGGGCAGGCACTGTTTCTAATTGATGCAGCCCATGCTGGCCGGAGACGAGTATTTTACTTACCGGTCTGCGTTTGCCAGTCCATCCATAGCAGACTTCGGCAACCTCGCCTTGCTCTGCTTGTCCTCTCTGTCACAGACAGAAGCAGAAGTTCTGTGGGAAATTGAAAACTAAGGAGATGTGAACTGCCTTCAAAACTATCTCCACTATTTTTTATCAAGAACTTGGCACAAAGAGGAATAACCCAGGCTGAGAAGGTTATCTAATGGCAAGGTTATATGGAGAGTCATTTTCAAATCTGCCTAGCACAGATAGCACACATTTATCTATAATCCAGAGGACTTTCTCCTTTCTGAGAGAGTAATGATGCCCTTGCTAGTATCATAGGCATATAAAGTGAGGGCATGACCACTCCAGGTTATACAGGTTGAAGAGAAGGTTTTTATTGTAGATGTGAGAGAGAGTGCAGCCAGAGGCATCTGGGAGAATCCAGAGAAGGAAGAGAAAGTAGCAGACTAAACATGGCCAGCAGAATGGAGAGGGGGGGGGGTAAGAGGGGAAGAGAGGGGAGGAAGACAAAAGAGAGAGCTAAGAAAGGGGACCAATGGAGAGTCAAGAGAGAGCATGGCCAAAATGGCAAGATTGTATTCAGATGAGAAGCTGGGAGATGGGAAACCCATGAGATGGAGGAGTTTAGGGTAGGGGTGGGGTGACAAGAGACACAGGTACTTGTTATACTGACACAGCCTGGAATCAGCATGGGCTTTGGTGTGCTTACAGGCACCAGGAAAGACCATTAGGACCCGACAGTAGGGAAATCTCTGGCCTCCTATCAGTCATCACTAACTGGCTGGCCAAGCTTGCATAGTAGGGTATTTGAAAATAACCCAAATGGAAACCCACTATTTTATAAACTTTATATTCATATGAATATGTGGGGCTTTTGTTTTTGTTTTTTGAGACAGGGTTTCTCTGTGTAACAGTCAAATATGTGATTTTTTTCCATATGAAGTTTTATTGGAGATGTCCTAGACAGAGAGAGGTTTATGCTTACCCCAGAGGCCATAGGCTGTGCAATAAAAACCCCAGTGCTACGTATAGGAGTCCTCTTCCCAGTTTGTTGATCAGAGGTATCCTGGAGTCTCTTGAGACAATACAGGCTGTAGCTGATGTTCTTGGCTTCCAGCCAAAGTTTGATGGACGATCCTACTACTGAAGTTACCACACACTTTGGCACTGGGCATGTAGAAATGAACTTAGTACTGACCAGGAAGTTTGCTCCCTGATGGTTAGTATACATAGTTGACAGGTTAATGACCTAAAACAAAGGGCCTCAAAGAAACTGAAAAGCTCCTGACTCGACATAATGATAAGCATTCCTGCTGACAAGAAGCCAGCACAATAAGGAAATCTGCAGTCAGCCAAAAGCTGGGAACCACTGGCAGCATGGTCGTTATATGATAGAACCATCTGGCATGCCTGTGCCCTGAGACTACAAACAACAAATCTACAGATAAGATTTTCCACTCCAAAAGTTCCCTTTTCTACCCTTCAAGGCCCCTGTGCCTCAGCACACAGTCTCTTCTTCTGTAGAGGAACCACACCCTTCATTGTTCTAGCAGAGGACAATCTGCTTCTGCTGAAACCCATCTCTCCTTTCTTTTTTTTTATGTGTTGCCTCAATCAATCCTAATATAACAAGTAGTACTAAAAGGTGCTATACAGGCTACTGGAAGAAAAAATATCATCAACAGTTTTACCTAGCTGTGAGCACTGTGAAGAATAATGACCAGCATGGCAATATAGGCCCAATAGTGGCACAAATGTAGGAGTAACCCAATGCTTTCTGATGGACTCTAAGGTCTGTTCCATAGGAGGAAAAGTATGGTACTGCAAACCTGGTATTGCCAAGAACCAGTTTGCTAAATGGACACAGTATCAAACTATCCTCTAAATTGTATTTCTATTATCAATAGATTAGCACAGCTTTTAGATCTTGTCAGAAAAGGTTCTTTGTATAGTGGATGGTGGTTAATACTGAAACTTAGAACTTGTCAAACTATAAAGGAAAAGTGTCTGTGGTTGCTCAGCCACAAACAGGACATGTATGTCACACTTCCAGGCTCAGAGATCCATGTGAAAGAAGGGGTGGGAAGATTGTGAGACCCAGAGATGAGGAAGAGGGCATGGGAAGATTGTGAGAGCCAGAGATGGGGAAGGACTGGAGTGTCCTCTGCACATGAAGAGACCACTGTCCTCATGAACTTACAGCAGCTGTGGTTCCTACACAAGATCTGAACAAGATCAAGCCAGTCAACATTCAAGAGCTCATGAACCCCACCCCGAACTGGGGAGCTATGGACAGCTGATGGTTTCCAGGGGAAGGAGGGTCCGTTCCTTTAAGGCTTTGGTTCCTGGGGGTCGGCTGTGCCCTAGTTTGTGTCCCCATGCTCAGGAGTACACAGGCAGCATAAATTGAAGTCAATGGATTATTAAAACAAAAAGAACACAAAGTTGGGGCATAGGGAAGGGTTGGGGAGATGGGGTGAATGTAATCAAAATACATTGCAGGAAAGTTTCAAAACTTAATAAAAATGTTATTTTAGAAAAGCATCTTCCTAGCCAGGCAGTAGTGGCACACACCTTTAACCCAGCACTTGGGAGGCAGAGTGAGTGATCTCAGGGAGTTCAAGGCCAGCCTAGTCTAAAAAGTGAGTTCCAGGAGAGAGAAACCCTTTCTCGAGAAATAGAAAAAAATATATCTTCCTTAACAATTTTTATATTTTTAAATATCACTCCATGAAAGTTATAAAATGTCAGGGAGTAATGGCACATGCCTTTATTCCCAGCACTCAGAAGGCAGAGGCAGGCAGATCTCTGAGTTTGAGGCCAGCCTGGTCTACAGAGTGAGAGTTCCAGGACAGCCAGGGCCATACAAAGAAACCCTGTCTCAAACAAACAAACAAGCTATAAAATACTTAAGAAAATGCACTCAAGGGGCCAGCAAGACAGCTCAGCAGGTAAAGGCTCTTGCTGCCAAGCCTGAGACCCTGAGTTCAATCCCTGTAACCCACATGGTGGAGAGAGCAAACCAACTCTGTAAATTATCTTCTGATCCCCACATGCACACTATGGCAGGCATGCACACAAATTATACACACATACACACCTATGATACATAAGTGTTTAAAAAAAACTAAAATGAACTCAAGACCAACAAAATGTTGCCAAACTAGAATGAAAGGGTATGTGTAGGGGAAAGCCCACACGCCCTAACCCAAAGGGGCGTGGGCAGGGTTAAGTGGAACAGGTGACAGATGAAAGGAGAAAGTAAATCTCTCTCTCTCTCTTGGATCCTGGCCACTGCGGGGACCATAGAGTGCTTCCCAGTAAGTGATGTCTATATTGAATAAAGTGTCTTAGACTTCCTTTACAAGTAGCATTGTTTCCCATTTCGGGGAGGTAGTCTCTTTATTTTACTTTTCTAACATCGGTGTGCTTGAAATGTCCATAAAGAGTACTGTCCATTTGTCAAGCAAAAGACACTATATTGTTGATTTTATTTCCCCTGAAAAACCATATATTACCTGGCCACCTGAGAAGGCAGTGGGTTAACATAGAAACAGACAAACAGACAACCCTGCCCTCCTTCTCATCTCCATCCAGCAGGCTTCATAGCAGGCAGAAAACAATTATTCTGGAGCTTGGACCTGCCCCTCCAATCAGGTGAGGCTCACAAGGGCTATGTGTCTCTCATTTTCCTCCCTTGCAGTTTCTTCATTCCCTGGGTACCTGGGATCACATATATTTTGAAATGCTGAATCTTGTTAGTGTCTCCCACTACCAACCTTGTACTCCCCTAAGACCATCTGGGATTGGAGGCAAGAGTTATCTCAGAACAAACAATCCATTACCACTATGCACATGCTAAACCACTAATAACATGGATGCCAGCATCTGTTCTATGATATAAATTACAAATATGTTTTTATTACGGAATACAAAAGTGCTTCTCCCCATCTCTCTTGTCCCTGGTCATTTTCCACTGTCAGTAAGTAGTAAAGATCTTCATCACAAGGCATCCTCCAAAGGCACCTGGTTGTCAGCATAATTTCTTCCCAGCAAGGAAATTCTCTGGTGTATGATTGTGTACACTGGAATGTATTATATGTAGTGATGTAAATAACTACATATGATACATGCAATATAGTAAGCAGTTAAAACTTGATTGGAAATGTTTGAGATATGTCTGTGTCTGCAGCAGCTATCATGAACAGTACAAGTAGGAGCCAAGGTTACAACATGCTTAGCTTGTAACATTCATAAGAACCATTTTCTGGAACCTCTTATCTTGTTACTTTTGGAGTGGCTGGCACAAGGGGACTCCATTTTTATAGCTGGTTTTGAGACAGATTCTTAGTGCAGCTCAGGCAAGCCTTAAACTCACAATTCTCTTCATTTTCTTGTTCAGTTTCCCCAATGCAGAGGTCACAAACATGTAATTCAGAGTTTCCCCCTTGCATTTATTCTTGATTAGCAGGGAGCTGAAGAGATGGCTCAGCGCTCCAGAGCACTGACCACTCTCCCAGAGGACCCAGTTCCATTCCCGGCACCCACATGGTGGCTCACGGTGTCTATATGACTCACTTGTGGGGTGCACAGACATATATGTGGGCAATACACAAATCAGTGTAAATAAAAAATTTTAAATATTCCTAAAATTATTGCTGATTTATTTAATTATTGCTGATATTAAGTTACCTGGTGGTTTGGTTTTGAGTTTCTTGTGTCTCTGGGAGGGGATCTGTCCTAGTGATCTAATCTGACCCAGCCTTTGGAAGTAGGGCAAGTGACAGATGTTAAAACATTAATGTCAATAAAACTCTTTTGTCAGTTTTAAGCAGAAAAATGGTATGAGAGGAATGGCTTTCAGACCAATACACCAAAAGTCCATTTTTCTTTCAGCTTAATGTTGTCTATAACATGGGTAATATCCCAGCATTTTAAAACAGTAGTTTAGGTCCTATGTTTTTATAATGTCAGCAAACAATAGTTACAAACTTAATAAGAACAGTAAAATATCACAGATCAATATCATAACTCAGGACAACAACTGTACATGACGACAGCCAAGAATGCTGGGGGTAGGATTC